AGATGCACAATGCTCATCAGTTAGTGGAGTGGTGTCTCACATGTATGGCAACAAACTACAATCACGTCTGTAACAAGCATGCAAAGCAACTGCGTTCACTCCACCCAGAAAATCAAGCATATCTAAATAGACATCGATGGCCTCCTGTCTGGTACGTACTTGGAGTATTATGGGAACAATTTTGTAATAGATCTTATAACAAAAGTATCTGTATTTCATGCTGACTTATAGATTGCAACAGAGAAACAGTTGATGATTGAATTCCATTTACATCACTTTTTTCTCTTTACAAAACATCTATGTAACAAAGTAATGTGTCAGTATTTCTCTTATCATTTTATGAAAAATAGAAACAGTTGTAATTTACTTCAGTGTATTTTATTTATTTATATATTTATTTTTAGGATTTGATTTATTCTTATGAGAAATCCCCTCCCCCCATTCTCTTTTTCTTTTTCTTTTGAGAAAGGAAAATTCTGTCCCTTGTGTACTTTTATCTATTGTAAAGCAGTAAGTAATATATGTTATTATGTCTTTAGAATAATTATAATATTCAGGTGTAGGGAATCCATGTGAGAATCTCTGATGTGTGTCATGAAATATAACAAAAAACAAGTAATGATGAAGGACTTGTATCCATGATTATAATTATATACATTGTGAACATGTGTTTTGGCCCAGTTCTCAGATAAGACCAGGATTTAGAAGATTCCAGAATTATATTTGTACACATTTAGAACTGACTCACCATGTATGAATCCAACCAGTATGAAGGGAATATGTACATATTTATATCTATATATGATAAGTTTGGATGTAAGTGCTAATTATGCTTTCTTTCAACAGGTACCTCAAAGACTATGACTATTATGAGAGGTGTTTAGTTGAGCGACAGCGAGAAGAAAACCCCATCAAGCCCCTGAAAAGGTCTCGGAACACAGCTGGCTGTCTCTGCTTCACATCCAAGAGTCGCAGGAATGCAGAGAAACAAAACTATCGCACAATGTAATTAATACTTTTTTACGTTCTATTGATCAGAGGATAGCTTATAGTATCCAGACGTCCCAGTTTGCGCATCTCATTGCCGTGATGCCATCTTTGATATTTTTATATGGTGATATAGAAATATTTCATGATCTCTCTCTTTTCTTTACATGGCATTGTTATTAATGTAAAGCATAGACATGGAATAAAGTATCATTGATTGCATCACTATTAGCCAGTGCTTTGTTCATAGTGTTTGTCTGCCATTTTGGTGATCATGCCACTTTTTTTTTGTCCTTGTTTTGAAACTTATATGTATGTGTATGTGTGTTCTTAGTCAGAGTAAAGTAATAGGTAAAAGTACATTACTAGCTTGATTCTAATAGATGTACACACGTGCACCACATGCAGTATATATATTTTTTTTTATCAATTAGAACACAATATTGGATTTTTTTTTTCTTTTTTTTCTTTTTTTTTAGCATTAATCCTAGTTTTTGCCTAACTTTACTTTATATTTTATTATTATTTATTGTTTTAGCCCCCACACAACTTTGAGGTTAATTTTCTGAAGCCACACTAATTTTATAGAAGAGCCATGGACACCTTAAGCCTGTTGCGTGCATCTTTGAGAAGGATCAGGAGATGGAGCCCTGCCAGCTAGTGGGACAGACAGGCAGGAGTCTGTCACAGCCTTCTACAAATTCTTTTGTTACTGCTCGCCTTTTTTTCATCATTATTTATGTTTATTGTCTTTTTTTTTTTTTTTTCTTCTTTTTTTTTTTCTTTTTACAAAATGCTTTGGACTGTGCATTTGGCCAATGCTATGTGTACTTTTTTTCTGATATGATTGAATTTTTGTACTCCTAAGTGTATGGAGGCACGGCTTTTCATTATGACAATAAACCATAGTTTGTATGTTAACACAGTGATTATCGAATCATTACTAATCACATGAGTCATTTAACTTTAAGTATTAGACACAATTAATAGCCATGATAGGCATTTCTGTGTAAACCAAACCCCAAAGTACAAGTGATTAATCACCAAAGGTAAAAGATTTGTCTTTTAATCATTATTATTTTTTCATAATGCATTGTTGTCTTAGTAATATTAACTGAATATGGCACATCATATATCAAGTACTGTTTTGTTTTTTTACAAATACTTTACTAATAATCCAAAGGGCCCAAAGACTATGATTTTTTTTTCTTGATTCTTGAATTCAGAGATAGATGGAAATTAGACATATTTTTAGGTTTTGAACTAAGGAGTAACTGATGTTTGTGTAAATTTGGAAGGGTTGTGAGGAAACTTTATTGGTTTTATTTTAACAAATTCCGGATTTGTACAATACAAAGAGGTATAGAATGTATTTGGTTGTAGTTGATTAAAAGGAATTTGGTATTAGATCTTTCAATCTTAGCCACATGCTGCCAGGGATGGCATGTGTGTACATGCCGTGGCCGTTGTATGTTTGATTATTAATTGTTTTTACACATAGATGGCTCTACAAGTACTGAGACACCAATAAGCAGACGAGAACTACCTGTCTTACTTGTTTACCATTTTCCGTGATTTTTATAATATTTTCTGGTATTTAATATTGCTGTTAGTAATGTTAATAACACTATAGTAATTATGATGTTTATCATAAGAATAACAGTATCAATATTGATAGCAGATTAAAAAAAAAAAAAAAAAAAAAAAAAAAAAAAAACATTTTTCCTCTCAAGGAAAGGTGAAATCAGTTGAGGTCATAAATCTCTTAAATGACTCCTTTGTGGCTTAGTACTGGCAGAGCATCTATGTGAAGTGACTTTTAACAAAACAATATTAGAGAAAACAACATTTTCAAGAGGGTAGTGGGTTCGAAAAGGCAGATAGTTTTTTATCAGTTCATATTTGTTTATTGTTGCGTTTCTGTAGAAAAGAGACTAAGCACAAAATTGCCTAGGTTCCTTTTGTGAATTTTTGATTGGTAGTCATTTGTCTCGAAAAGATTATAATGAATGCATTGTCAACTATACCTCAGGTTATTAGTCACTATCAGTCCATGATACTACTAGTATTTTGGATACTGATAAAAAGCCAGTATAAAAGAGGAGTAAAGTTTCAAGTTATTTGAGTATTATATTTGTTAAAGATAAAAACAGAACTAGCTGAAATGATATAGGAATGTACATATTACTTTAAACAAATTAATTGCTATTAGGACAAAGTCAAAACTCAAATTTAGCAACTTTTGAAGTTGTTACCCTCTTTTCAACAAATTTTGTAATGAGTGATATTAATTATTATCATCTTATATATAGGGAATTAAAAACCTTTGACTTTAAGGGGAATGTTTTTAACTCATGCCAACTGAAAGAAACAAAAGAGAAGGAAAAACCTTATGGTTCTTAATTAGCGTGGTGTTCAAGGATATATATATATATATATATATATATATATATATTATATATATATATATATATATATAATATATATATATATATATATATATATATATAAATTATATATATATATATAATATATATATATATATATATATATATATATATATATATATATATATATATATATATATACATACATATATATATATACACACACATATATCATGCTAAGTACAGTCTCCTTTGTTTTCCGCACCCACAGCAAAATGTGATATTGCCTGGACCATTTTCTTTTTCTTTTTTTAGGATTAGATTAGATAAAAATGTTCTTGTTTATCTTATAGATCCAAACCTTTTTAAGTCATGACTTTTGATTCCATTCATGTTAATTCAGACAGTAGATGTAATTTTTTACTTTGTCCCACATGTTGTCAAGTACACATCTAGCGCAGTTCTCATCATAGGAAAATATTTGATGTATGATTCCACACTTCATATCCATGTCTAATTTAAGAAGGTTTGGTAGATATAAAAGCTTTACAGCAAGCTTTTTATATTATTATTATTATTGTTATTATTATTATTAATTTCACCATCAAATGTAAAGCTTTGTGGGAAAAAAAAATTATTCTTAAAAAGAGTTTAGGTGATAAAGCTTTCCATGTTTTTATAATGTAATAACAGGAGATGTTGGTGTATTGTTATTAGAGAGTGCATGTAAGAAAGTGTTGTGTGCATAGTATATAGTTTGGGAGTGAATACAATTACCTAAGGGTATAACACAGCCCATCCATTGTAATCGGCCATATCATTTGCAGGTACTTTGAAATGGACGGTTGATTAGGTTCTTGCACATGTTGAAAAGAAGGCATCTTAGATACAAGGAATTGCAAGTGAAGTTCACAAAAGTATTTAGATCTTGAAATAGCATCTAGTCTGAAAGCCATTCATTGCTCACTCAACGACCAAGCTTTTTCTTAGTGAATGGTAGATTGATAGTTGTGACATGATGATTATTAAAAAAGATGGGCTTGATTTGTGGAAGTAAATGCAGCTTTTTTCCTATAGACATTGTGTTGTGATATTACTAAAAAATACAAGAACTAATTATCATTTTATATTTATTCAGAAAGATGGTTCAACTTCCACTTTGGTTACAGAACTATGGTTATTTTTCCAAAAATAGCCATGGGATTTTAGGTAACTAATAATCATTCATATAATGAAGAGTGCAAAAGTACAAAATTAGGCATTAATCCTAAAACATGATTTTGCCCTTTCCCAAAATATTTGAAATGGGAATTCCTACAATATTGAATTTCTTTTGATATACAGTATATTTGAATTTGTATCTTCCCCTCCAAAATATGAAAGATATATTTATACACAGTCAGATGAATATGGTTTAAAACAAACAAATGGTATATCTGCATAATTTTTAAACAGATTTTGGCAGACTTTTTTACTTTCATTATAGAATCTCTGAGGGATCCTTTATATGATTATCCTAGTCTTCCCTCACATTATTTTCTAGCTGACTGTGAAGCCAGTGAAAAGGCCACACTGAAAACTGAAAAGGTGGAATACTGTCTCTGAAAATATTTGTGAGCAGAATGAATGATATAGTCTTCATTTTGTACACAGCTGGAATAGGAAAGATAATGCTACTGTTTTCACCTCACTGACATATTTGAAACACTTTTCTATTTTGATTTTCAAACTGAAAGGTGTTTTTACTGATTAAAAAAAGGAAAGAGGCATTAAAGGGTGCTCCATATGCTTATTGCTCATTCCACCCATTCCCAGTAGTCATCAGTAGTTGGAAATTAGAACAAGTGTTCACTCTTGCTGGACCCTTCAGGTGGAAAGTAACTATGTGTCATTTTATGTAATGGGGCAAAGCTGCAGCCACAGAGACGTTTTGTAGTCATGTCTATGATGCCTTTGGGAAGTGGGGTGATGTTTGCTGATTTTTTGTATGAACTTGTGGGAGGGGGGAGAACATTTTTTAAAGATTCAATTTTAAATACTGAAACAAAAATTTGATGCAAAATTTTGAGATTCACATGAGGGGCATTAGAGTAAGAAAATCATGTTCATTTGCTGTGTTTTTCTCAGGGTTTAAAACCAATTCATCCACACAAGTGATAAGAAAGAGAACAGTAAAGATTTTTTTTCTTTTTCTTTTTTTTCACCCAAGACCTGTCTGTTTCTGCAGTCGCACCATAATCTCTGTTTGCACACATTTATCGTAGAGTGATCAGCTTAGGTTTAAGTATCATGTTAGGCTTGGTATTGCACAAATTCATCTCATTTGTTGTCACCTGATACATGGACTGAGATGAGAGTGTTGGCAAGTTTGATTATATGGAGAAATAAATATATTTTGTTTTATGTGTGTATTGTTCTTCTGTTTTTTTTTTTTTTCTTTCTTTCTTTCTTTTTTTTTCTTTTTTTTTCTTTTTTTTTATTATTAAATCAATGCTGTTGCTAGGAATGTGATTATTTTGTTTGTTTCCTAAAATGCATTTCTTTCTTTCTTTCTTTTTCATCTCCTTTGGTACCATGTTTATGAATAAAGAAGAAGCTGTTTTATTTGTTGTTAGCTGTGTTATGTATAATTTTAGCACATTAAGCAAATGCATAAATATCATCATGTTAGACTGTACCTAGTGAGCAGGTTCAGTGCAATACAGTAAAGAAATTAGGAAATCCTAGATCCTTGGGCAGATTAAGTTCACAGCTTTTGAAGTGTGATGGCTCCATTTGCCTAAGATTTCTTTAGAATAGATTATTGATGTCAATAGTGCAATTGGTTTTGCATGTTTGTTTGTTTTTCCACAAATGATGGAAAAAAAGATATCCAAAGGTTATTGGCGTCTTCATTTTTGTATATGAATGTGGACTCTGTGTCTGTACTGCAATAGGAACACATCATAAAAATATTGAATTGCACTGAGTTCCTGGTATAAGATGGGAATAAAGTTCTGGGTGCTCTGCTATGTGTATTTGTATGTATGTATGCAAATACTTACAGTATATACCTACATAAAGTACATCCATATATACTTACATGTATATATGTATGAAGGTTTGAAAGATGTAAAATCATATTCAAGTAATATACCTTCAGCCATTTTGAGAAATACACCCACTTGAACTTTGAAAATCTTGTCACCAAAGCTTGCTTGAGTTGCTCATTTTTTTATGCACGCCTTCTCTACAGCATTTTTTAAAGATACAATCATGGAACTAGGCAGTGTAGATATAATGATTAGATACTGTATTTTAAGGGTTAGATATTTGCTATTTTATATATGGCTTTTTTGAAAATTTCAATAAATGTGAATGACCTGTACAAGTTTTTACCTTGTTGGAACCTTTGTTGCTGTTTTGCAATTTGTCTTTTAACATTTTTGAAAGTGGTGGTTCTCTCATAATGTTTATACTCGATGGAATAAGAGTCAGTGGCTGGCTTGAAATGTTAAGGTTATTTATTTTTTATTTGATAATGCAATGTCAGGACATTTATATATGTAAAATCTTTATTTTTCTTTTTTTGGCTTCCTTCATTTAAGATAGGTGATATTTTTGAAAGATAGATAGATGATAAAGGAAAAAAAATTATATATATGATATGACCTTTGAAGCTGAAGCCATGATTATTAACCCTATCATGTGGGGCCAGAATTTCCCATGATGTAATAATTACGTAACAGAATAACCTTTGTGTCTGGGTGTGTGCTATACATAGCTGATACATGTCACCACTAACTATTTATGACATGTATAGCTATAGGCGTGCCCATCACTTAAGGGGTTAAGAAAAAGCATATGACAAAAATAAACATTGCAAATAGGCATTGTGCCAAGTTATATTTTGAAACTCTGAAGTATGCCTTGTATTGTCTTACCAGAACATCTGTTAAAAAAATAAGTATTCAGAAATGTGCTTTGTGCTAATGGCTTAATGTAGCAGCAATATTAAAAAATAGCATTGGTATATAGCATTTCTTGTTGTAGCATTATTTTGATTTGTAATTTCTTATCCTCATTTATAATTTGATTTCATCTCTCTCTCTCTCTCTCTCTCTCTCTCTCTCTCTCCTTGTCTCTC